AAAAACTGAGTTTGAAGTGCCAAAGTAATTTGCATGTAGTTAACTCACAGGAGTAAAATCTTTTTTTGTTTTGTTTTGTTATAGAACTCAAGCAAAAGCAAACTGGTGCATCTCCTCTTAGCTTGTGTGCTCTTCCTCATTGATAACTTTTGTCCTCTTTATCACATTTGATATTGATTAGTCAGGCATGTCCTGGTTTTCATTTATGAAACATTACAGGTGTAGACTAATAAGGGATAATAACCATCAGATAGAGAGTGGGGGTTTGTAGTTCTTGTTCTGTTTTGTGTTTGTATTTTGTGTTTTTTTTTTGCTTTTTTTGTTTTTATAAAATAGTTACTTAGTTGTAGTTGTAGTTGCAATTGTGTAGCTTTGGTAGTTTTATACATCCCAACTTCTCATTTGTATGTTTTATTTTGTCTGTTTCCCAAGTACAAATTATATTTTTAAAGAAATGTAAGGTAAAGGTTGGAGCCCCCTGTGATGCAGTGGGTTAAACCGCTGAGCTGCTGTACTTGCTGATCAAAAGGTTGCAGGTTCAAATCCGGGGAGCGGCATGAGCTCCCACTGTTAGCCCCAGCTTCTGCCAGCCTGGCAGCTTGAAAACATGCAAATCTGAGTAGATCAATAGGTACTGCTCCAGCGGGAAGGTAACGACACTCCATGCAGTCATGCCGGCCACAAGCCTTTGAAGGTGTCTACGGACAATGCCGGCTCTTCGGCTTAGAAATGGAGATGAGCACCAACCCCCAGAGTCAGACACGATAGGACTTAATGTCAGGGGAAAACTTTTAGCTTTACCTTAAGGTAAAGGTTTCCCTTGACATTAGGTCTAGTTGAGTCCGACTCTGAGGGGTTGTGCTCATCTCAATTTCTAAGCCAAAGAGCCAGCATTGTCAGTAGATGCCTCAAAGGTCCTGTGGTCGGCCTGACCGTGTGGAACACAGTCATGCCGCTCCAAGAAATGTTGGAAGGTGCATGATCCTTAATCCACAATAGAACATAATATTTCTTGAATAAACCGAATCAACCCAGCCAACCTGTCTCGAGCCCATAGGAGAGGTGGGAGACCAATTAAATTCATTGTTGTTGCTGCTGTTCCTGTTGTTGTTGTTAAACCAGCTGGTAGGTCCCCTTCCTCCTCAACACCAAATCACTTGTGTGTTAGTGTAGCATTTCAGATTGACAGAAAGATATGGCACTCTTGAGAATACTTTTTAAATATAATTTTTATCCTTAGCTTTAAAAGAAGTTCAAGAAAAACATGCTAAAAGTGCAAATGCCAACAGGAACCTGGCAATGAAGCCTAGCATTAATGATGCGTTAAGAGGGAATTTTTCAAAAAACACAATCCTGCCAAGGTTTCTGCTTGTATTTCCTTTAGTTGTTCTATAAAAAAAACATTTAATACTTTGGAATGGCACTGAACTTGAACTCAAGGTCTATAGTGCTTTGTAGAAGATGTAACAAACTCTGTTTGGTTCGGCAGCCCCTTGCGTGAGATCGCTGTACTGGCTGCGGTTTGTTATTTTGCTACTCTCACATTTCTGTTGTGGAAAATGTGACAACCCTTGCTGCCTGCTGAAGAAAAAAATTACAGTGGTTAAATAAACTTACAGAAGCAAGTATGTATTGGAGCTTGTGGGTGCAGGGGAAATCAAAGGTTTCCTCCCTGATTAAAACCAGAGTTAGTCTATTGAAGGAAATCTCTCCAGTCTAATCTTGCAAGACTTTCACAATTTCCAGTAAAATAGTTAATTCTCTCTGTTAGGACTGGGATATAGAGCAAAGCAAAATAAATTTCTTTTTGTCAAGCTTTCAGAAATGTCTTTTATAAAACTCTTATCTATTGAATAGATGGAACATATCAACAAGAGCAGTTAATTTATAATATTTCAACTTTTAATTGCCCATCTCCTTCTCAGCTCGACTCTATATTGAGAAAAAGCTGAGATAATAATAATAATAATAATAATAATAATAATAATAATAATAATAATAGAACTGCAAAGGCTCTTGCATAAACCAGTACAGGTGGTCCCAGTGGTCATTGGCGCACTGGGTGCCATGCCAAAAGATCTCAACCAGCTTTTGGAAACAATAAACATCGACAAAATCATGATCTGTCAAGTGCAAAAGGCCACCTTACTTGGATCTGTGTGCATCATTCGAAAATACATCACACAGTCCTAGATGTTTGGGAAGTGTTTGACTTGTGATTTTTTGATACGAAATCCAGCATATAGATCTTGTTTGCTGCGACATACTGTGCTTTTGTGTCAATAATAATAATAATAATAATAATAATAATAATAATAATAATAATATGCTTTCCTTTAAAAAATACAAACCCCTCTTTAATTTGTGTAAGTAAATTAAAAATATGACTGTGAAATCTACATTGTTGTCATCTGGGTTTAAATAGAGGGGAAGTTGAATGGTCTAAAGCTGAGAAGGGTGTTCTTTCTTTTTAGAAAGCTTAATCTTAAAAAGTCTCAAAGGTTTGTATTGTTCTGGCACAGGGAACTTTGTAGACAAAAATCAGAAGAGGAAGGATTGCCTCTCAGCATAACTCTGTGGACTGTGAATTTGAAAACTTCATCCTTTCGTCCAAGGTTTAGAGTGAGAAGCTGCTTTCTCTCTAGATTCTGTTCCATTATACAATGAGTTTTGCTTTTGCAAATGTCAGTATCTTTGTTTGGTTTTCACGAAATGACATTTCTCTTGAATTACTGCATTCTTTGCCAGGCCATTAGTGAAAGCTTAACCTATAATCTCCCCTGTATACAGAACTTTGTTTTTCCTCCTCCCTGCAAAGGCGAATGCTGGCCCAACCACCTGTTAGCATTACATCACTAGCTCCCAGGAACACAGTTGCACCAAAAGCCCTCAAACAAAGTCACTCTTCTTGCATTGTTTGCACTCAAAGAGCTGATGTCATGCCGAGCTGATGTCATTGTATGTCTTTGTGTCAATGCCATGGAAACCGGGCAGGTGGGGAGGCTGTGCTGATGTCATCGCCAACGGAGGTGTAGAAAGTTTGTCAGCTTCTGCTTTTCTCTTCAGATTTTGTGCAAGTTTGTTAGAAGACAGACTCGAAAACATGAAACGTGTGAAGTGTTAGGGTAAAAATTACAAACTTTCCTACACATTTTTCATCCTCTTTGCCTTAAGTGCCTTCTTTTTCAGGGATCTCTTCCTTAAGAAGCATTTTTTTTTAAAAAAAAATGTGTAACTTCTTTACTTTTTGGAAGTAAATTAAAAATATGACTATGAAATCTACATTGCTGTCATCTGGGTTTAAAAAGAGGGGAAAGTTACTGGTGAAATGTACCCTTCACCTGAGGGGTTTTTTTTTTTGTAACATCTGGAAAACGAGGGAATTTTAAAATGTATTATTTATTATTTATTTAAAACATTTATATTCCACCCTTCTCACCCCAAAGGGGACTCAGGGTGGAGCACAGAATATATACGACAAACATTCAATGCCGGGACAAGAATTCATCATATGTATACATAAACATTAAAAACATTTATCTTAATTTTAAAATACACTGTTTAAAACCGTCTTAGTCATCTGTGTCAAATCTAAGTTTCCTATTGCTGTTTTATTGCAATGTAGACAAATTATGCCATAGGAGACAGACTTAATCATACTTCAAAACATACTGAAACCCATCTTGAGAACCAGCATGGTGTCGTGGTTTCAGCATTGGACTAGGACTCTGGAGAACAGGGCTTGTATCCCCACTCGGACAAGTCACATTTTTTCAGCCTCAACAAACAAATCTTGCCTAGAAAAGCCCATAATAAGTTTACATTAAGGTGGCCGTAATTTGAAAATGACTTAAAGGCACACACTGACAGGGCTTTATTTTTACCTTCTTGGGGGGAAAATCTCATGGCGAGATTTGGTTAATCACCCATAGAGGGTTTCAAATAAAATAATAATGCCTGCCAAGGCTGGTGGCAGTGACATTGGGCAGAGTTAGGTGATTTCTACAGGAAGATTATTTCGGGTAGGATAAAAGGAGTAACTAGATGTTAATTGTTTAACAATTCATAATTTTGTCTTGTTGTTTTTATTATAAGGAATAGAAAGAGATTCTTGTGGATTTTTTTGCTTCATGTGCCAATTTATTTATTTATTCATTTATTTTGAGCATTTTTATCCTATCCTTCTCACCTCCGAGGAGGGACCTAGGGCAGCAAACGTCAGGCAACCATTAGATGCCACATAATACAATAAAATCCACAGTCGCAATTAAACAACAATTAAAACAACAATAACACTCAATTTAAAACAGTCCACTAATTAAAAAAAAGTCCTAAATAACCATTCTGGTCACTTATAATGTTCTCTTCACAGATGCTAGATTTATTGCTCAAATGCTTGGCTTTGGATGTGATATATCTTGATTTTGGTGGGATGTGGGAGATATTCTGCCTGAGGCACCAAAAGGTCTGGAGCCAACCCAGATTTTTAAACTAATAGTATCTGCCCATGTGTCTGAGGTTTGTGGATGTGAAGCTCTGCCCATTGCCATCATTAGCACTGAGATAGTAAGTACAGATCAAAATACATTTTCAAGCAATGTGGTTCAAAAGAGCATTCATTTTTGGTCATTGGTTGTGACCATTGGTATTGAGTTAGCAATCACAGATTAAAATATGTTTTCAAGCAATGTGATTATATAGCAGTCCATTCATTTTTGAGAAGACGTATTGATTGTGGCCACATCTGCTATTAGCAACGAGATAGCATTAAAATATTCAAATATGTTTTTGAACAATGTGGTTATACAGTGCATTCGTTTTTGAGCAGTCATATTGCTTGCAGGCACATTGCTTGGCAGAAATTGAGATTCACAGCCCTGAGAACAGTGTAGGATTCTTTGCTTGATGCACTGTGAATGTCTATTTTGGTTTTCCTCAATCTCTGTGTTATGAGGTTTCTGAAGACCCTGTATTCAGAAATCTAATTCTCTCCTTTGCAGGTGGACTCAGCAGTTTCAGACAGAACCACGAAAACCTCTGTGATACCTCCCTCCAACTCCAAGAGTGCCCAGAAGGTGGTGGAGGTGGTGGGGGTGGTGCCACCGCGGTGACCTGTACGCTACCTCAATCCGTCCCGACCACTCCAGACATTGAGAATGCTGAACTCACCCCCATCCTGCCCTTCTTATTCCTTGGCAATGAACACGACGCTCAGGACTTGGAGAAGATGCAGCGGCTGAACATTGGCTACATCATCAATGTCACCACTCACCTCCCCCTCTATCATTATGAGAAAGGCTTATTCAACTACAAGCGGCTCCCCGCCACAGACAGCAACAAGCAGAATCTCAGGCAGTATTTTGAAGAGGCTTTTGAATTCATTGGTAACTATCCTTTGCTTGCTGTCTTTTTTCCCAAGCAAATTGCCATAATTGTTGCTTTCATGGCTTGAATGTGTTTAGTTCTGGGATGATAGGCATGGAACTGGTTATCTTTGCCCAAGGGGCAGAGCAACTGGAACCACCTTTTCAATGTGGAAATCTGAATATCTATACAACTTTATTTGCCTGGGGTTGTAATGTACTGCCCAGACAACTGACAGATTTGGGTTGTTGTAGGTTTTTTCGGGCTATATGGCCAAGTTCTAGAGGCATTCACTCCTGACGTTTTGCCTGCATCTATGGCAAGCATCCTCAGAGGTAGTGAGGTCTGACAGATCATTTATACCATGAGATGGGAAGAAATTTTACTTTAGTTGTTTTTTGATGGGAAGTTACAAAAATTCACAAAAGTCTTCATATCTGATGTGGAAAAAAGTTTTCTGTTTTTTTTTTAATTGGGGGAATCTGACCTGGAAAAAATTGAGATTCCCTCTCATAAATCTATATTTGACTATATATACATTCAGAAGTCGATTGTTTTAAAAACCTGGCATCATCATCTCTTTTCCCCCTGAGCAACTTCCCATTTTAACACCTTTATGGTAGGCAAGTACGGCATGCTCCTACCCACAGTGGAAAGAGCTATTGAATTTGGCCAGTGCAAGTGGAGAAAGTACAAGTGTTTTTGCTCATTTTGGAAAACTTGCCACAAACAAATGTATTCATATTTTGAATACAAAGAACTTGAGATGCTAAATAATATAAATGTAATGGAAAATACAACTAATAGTTGGTCTCATCTCTAATCCTTTCACTTATAATGTTTAAAGTGTCTTTTTGCACATTATACAAGACATGCTATGATTTGCTACAGATTGTGTCCTTTTTTTAAACATTCAACACACACAAGAACTGCATTTTGTAAATGAAATATAATTGCTCATGGAATATGGGATAACAACTGCTCAAGTTTGCATTATGGTTAATTATTAATACCGAACATAAACTAGACTTCTACTTGGCAAATATACTTCCATGCTGCAATTTTTTTGCAAACATGTGTGACTTGCATTCATCTAGTATTATAGGTTCATCATATCCTTCAACAACAGTTGTACTTCTGTCTATTTCAGTGGTTCTCAACCTGTGGGTCCCCAAATGTTTTGGCCTTCAACTCCCAGAAGTCCTAACAGCTGGTAAACTGGCTGGGATTTCTGGGAGTTGTAGGCCAAAACACATGGGGACACACAGGTTGAGAACCACCGGTCTAATTCATTAAAATAGTAGCATGTGCAACTAAGAAACATAAATTATCTTTTATTATGTTCTGAATACTGTTGCTCTGTATCCAATATAGATTAATAACTCAAGATCTTTGGTCCTAATTAGCCATGGAAGACCTCCCCAGATCCATTAAGCTGTCACTGTATAACAAATGTGGTTTGTTGAACTTCATTTGAGTAGAGTATTGGTTATCACATGATCCAACAGCTTCTATGACTACTTTCATGTTCCTGGTATATTTCATAAATTCGTATATCCACACTTCACAGTTACAGTACTTTGAACATACTTGAACTGCTATAGCTCCATCCTATGAAATCTAGATTTAATAATAATAATCATCATTATCATCATTATCATCATCATCATCTTTATTTATACCCCGCCATCATCTCCCCAATGAGGACTCGGAGCGGCTTACATGAGGCCAAGCCCGAACAATAAATTACAATAAAAACAAAATCAAAGCTCAACCGAAAACGCAAACAGTAAACAACCACATCATAATAAAATAAAACATGTAAATACATAACAATATAAAATTACAATAGACGCAATCACAATGATAATGGGCGGGCTGCATGTAATGATTAAAAGAGAGACTAATTAAAACTAATTTAAAACTCGGGCGAGATAAAAAGAGACAGATTATTTGCGGAGGAGAGCTCATTGTGGAATCAAGCTTTCCCACAGAGGGGGGACGACATATACTCCAGTGACAGAATGTTGAAGGCTAGGCAGTAGTGTGGGATTGTATATCTACTCTCCAAAGGCGCAGCGGAAGAGCCAGGTCTTAAGAACTCCTTTTTAAAGGTTTCTAGGGTAGGGGCTTTCCTAATTTCTCCAGGTAGTGAGTTCCAAAGTCAAGGGGCCACAGAGGAGAAAGCTCTCTCCCTTGTGCTTACCACGTGAGCTTGTGAAGCTGGCAGGGGCGATTTATAGTTTTTAACTGTTGAAGTACTCTAGTAGCTCACTCAAGTATAAATCTGACATTGCTGCAAGATGGAGTCATGGTGGTTAAAGTGGTTTTGAATAATAATAATAATAATTTCTAGACCTCCCTCTCTCCCAAATGGACTCAGGGCCGTTCACATACATATAAAAGGCAAACATTCAGTGTCATAACTAAGATTACACAATACCAATCTTATGGGAAATTAAACATTAACAAACCTATTACAATAACAGAATGAAGAAGAAAAGTGTGAGAGAAACAAATACTTAAATAAAATATAATTATGCCAATAAAACATATTTGCACAAAAACATGTGTTCTACACAGTTAAAACAACCAAACTGCAAAATGTGCCAAGCATCAAGTTGTAATTTGAAATAGACCATAGCAGCAATAAAGTACAAATTGTGCTAGTCCTCCTCCTGATTGAACTACTGATTGTACATGTTTAGTTTTCATGTGATTGGCCACATGCTCCCCCAAGTTCTTTTTGCATCCCTGATTGTGTATGTCATGGTAATCTCTCATAATTCTGAAATATTGTGCCTTGAATTGGCTTGTGCTGGTGACAAAACCAGAAAAAAAATTGTGGGGGGGGGGGGGTTCTTTCTTTAGCAAGTCTTTGATGTTTTTTAAAACTTTGCTAAAAACAATCCATGGCTCCAGTGACATTGCTAGAAAAATTAAATACTTAACAATTAAATATACCACAGAGATGATTTTCTCTTGATAGTAACTTCTTTGTTAATGCAGGAATGGGGAATGTGTAGCCTTTCAGAGGCTTTCACTAGAACCCCATAACCACATAATCCATAGCTGCAGTTTCAGTTACTCATGCCCAGTAGAAAAATGGTCTCTCTAGAAATATAGTAGGTACTCCAGGCAATTCTATGGTATACTTCACATGGAAGTTAGCACAGAGTTGCAATGGAAAACCTAGCAAATTCCTAGAGAGGATGCATCTCTAGGAATCTCTAAGTCCACCAGTGCAACTCAATGCTGCGATTGAAAATGAGGTAATATCCACAGTCCGGACAGGAAAATGTCCCTTGCAAATATGGGAATCTTTTTGTATTGGCTATGATAAGATCCCCATAGGACTTGCAGGTTAGAAACATTTGGAGGACAACAGATGGCGGCCCCATGTGGTTGTAATACATGGATGTGTACACTGTCTCATAGTAGCTCGTTTTTTAATCACTGTGTGACACTAGATACAGATTACATGAACTAATCAAGATTCAAGATCCATTCCCTTAATCTCAGTTTATAGGGCTGTTTTACTTTCTGAGATTGTTGCACTTATTGGTATGGCCAGTGTAGTGGCTGGACCTAGAAACTCTCACCCCATCCTAGCATTTATTATTAGGATTATTGAGGAGTTAGGTCCTGTAAGTGAATGAGAGAATATGTATGAAAGAGTATCATGGACCTGGTGATGGGGGGAAAGGGCACAGCTGTAGCAGGTGTCCCAATTGCAATATAACAGGAATATACCACACATGTATGTCACATTTTAATTGTAGCCTTCTCTTAAATCTGAACTAGCCTTTTATGAAACATATTATGGAACATAATGTCAGACTTGGATTAGAGGACTACCTTAATGTACCACATCTTCATCACTAGTACTATCCTTGTAGATATAGATAGTGAATACTGGAAATTTGCTTTGTCAAATGCATCATGTTCTACTTCTTGTGGGACATATCACTTGAGTTGAAGATTAGAAAATTCAAGATTAATATATCTTTATCCTCCCAGTACACAAATAATAGGGTTCATAACTGGGACACAAACGGAAAGCATATGATCTAGTAACTTTACAAAAGCTAAGCAGAACTAGGGCTTGTTAATAGGTCAGAATGAAAGACTGCCTAGAAATATAAAACCTCAAGCTCAGTCACAAGGTGCAAGTAGGATATAAATATAAAAAAGTGTTCCAGTCAGTTCCTGGTTTACACACTAACTACAGAAATTGTAACAACCAGTTTGATCTACCGAGTATAAGTATATGTTCCACTGCTTTTCAGACAGCTTCAATGCATCGATATATATCTGACCATTCAGCAGTGAAGACATCTGGAAAGAATCTACTTGGACTGTTCAAACAATTAATTAAACATGCACAAATATAGTCTAGGTCTGTAGAGGATAGAGAAGCAATCGGGGACAAAAACCAAACCAGCAATACTCAATCCAGGCATCTAGTGTATCAAAATGTGTGTTAATAAAGTATGTGTTGAGGTAGTGTTGAACTGACATAATGGTTGTAGCAAAAGACTATTTGTTTTGTGTTGGTGGCATTGAATTGCCTTGGTTGAACCACTCAGATGTTTTACAGTTAGCCAATTCACTTGGTTGAGTGCAGTGGAACCCTAGTGCATGTGAACTAGTAATGGGGACAAATAGCTAGATTATCCTAGTAGTCTGCAGTTTTTTACGACCCTCTCGTTGTGTGTTTATCCATTAACAATGGTAGTGGGGAAGGTGAGGTTCCTGGGAGGGTGTAAAACTCATGTTCCCTGAGGGCCACATCAGCCTTATAGTTGCCTTCAAAGGGCTGTTGTAATTTTAGAACTATATAAATGTAACTAGTCCTTAACATATTATTAAATAACCTGAGACACCATGCCACACACTACCCAAATAAGGGTAGTGTGTGGCATGGTGTCTCAGGTTATTTAATAATATGTTAAGGACTAGTTACATTTATATAGTCCTAAAATTGATCATGTTCTGAAAATAGCAACAAACACAAAAC